AAAAAAAAAAAAAAAAAAAAAGAGTTTCCTGGTTCACCACAGGTACCCTGAAGTACTCATCCAATACCAGAGTAGATGCAGAGTAATTGCTCTACTACGGTCCTGTTTGGCTCGAAGAATCTGTAAGAAATTCTGGGGTTCTATCACTGTATCTAACATACAAAAGAACTAGATAAATTAGAATATTGGGCCTAAGGTACTTCTACAGACAACTTAGTTTGAGTTTATAGCCTTAAAATACCATAATGCGTGTTTTCCTGAGAAGAATCTATATATGTCAAGCTAATAGGGCTTCCCTGTCTACTAACGATGTCCACAAAAGGCAGCCAAGGATGAAAGGATTTAGTTCTAGGATGTTTCACAGTTGTGATTTTTTTATTTTAATCCTTTGTAGTAAATTAGTACTAGAAGGATCAGGCATTCCTTCCTTAATTCTTTCCAGGGGAGAGAAAGTTCCATTTTCACCTGGGCCCTGTAATGCCAACATATTCGTTGCTTTAGAAACAACCGGAGATGGTAATTCTGTATACATATGTGCTGATATCAAAGGGTAATTCACATTGGTTTGAGTAACAAGGTGAGAATTTATTGTTGACCCTACAGTACTCTTATATAAAAACTATAAATGGTTTCTGTCGTTTCAGCTCTTTGGCTGGCTTTTTCGCAGAGTTCGTTTTGAGAATGTTATCTTTGGCATTTTAACAGTGATGTCAATACAAGGTTATGCAAACCTCCATAATCAATGGAACATAATAGGAGAATTTAATAATTTGCCTCAGGAAGAACTTTTACAGTGGATCAAATACAATACCACACCAGGTGTGTAGGTATTTGGTTAATGCATAGTTGTGCGCAAACATACTCACAAACACATTTGTGTATACTGTATAATTGTCATTTCTGATATATGTGTGTATGACAGATTTACAAATAGGCATTCATACTCTCACAGACTTTGAGCAGACTATTGTAATATCAATTAAACCCTTCCAAAAGGTAATTTTGGCCCCCTTAAGCCCCTCCTGATAATTATCAAATTTAAATTAGTACCAGGAAATTAATGACTTTTCACAAGTTATGTCCTTTAACTCTGAGAGCACTACAGCATTTTAACCATAACAGTGACAAATCAAAGCAGTAAATCTTTAAAAATGAAATTTCACACCTTGTGTCAGGCATAGCAGAAGATACTCTTGATGGTGGGGAGAACTGGCACCGCTTCTGTCACTCTAGTCAGTGCCATCTCCTCTAATTCTGTAAACAGGTCATTGGCAGAAGAGTTAAAATCTTGGATATTCTATTTTCTTCACAAAATCATCTCACAGAGATAGTATACATCCTACTTTTAAATACTCCAAAATTTTCTTTTTAGCTTAGCTCCTTTTCTTCCTGTCTTTATTCAGAACTACCTCAAGCAGATACATATTTTTAAATATCTTTCCAGAGAATCAAGTATATTCTATAACATTTTCTGCAACTAAATTTGTAAATCTAAGATTATTTTTGATATTTAGAAACTTTCTCTGGCACAAGTTCTTCACTACAGTTTATTTAAATTTTCTTATGACTCTTGAGCTTGTTTCCTCGTATATCTTATTTGATAGCCACTTTTTTTACTAATTAACCATCATTAAGGTAAATCTTTATAAGCTTTAACGAAGATATTTGGTCTATAGCTTTCAAAGGGTGTAGGTGACAGCGCCTCGTTAAACTGCCAAGCCAGTTTAATTCGAATTTTAAAAGTAATCCCCAACAGACTTTTTCCACATAGGAGCTCAAGGTAATCATTCCCTTTCTTTACTCTCTCTTGCCCCTCCCCAGTTATAGCTATTTTTCCCAAGCTTTTAAAAATATCTGCCCTTTTAATCTTTTCTTGTGTCTTTCTTTGTTCCAGTGTTTGCATTGGGTTCCTGACAGAGAGCCTACATTTGGCAACTTATCATTCTAAGATAACTGCCACAAACCCCCATCTCACTTTTAGATGCCTCTTCTCTGATCTTCTTTTCAATCTGTCTTATTCTCCTTTTAATTACTCTTATTATGAGTTATCTCATGGTTACCACATATTAAAAGCTGTATGAAGTTTTGTAGTATTAGTGGGACTAGTGCTTCTATTGAGCACCGCCATGCAAGGCTGTATAGTTTGTGCACTGCACAAAGGTGACCAGTTGAGAGGGTAAGTGAAAGCTTAAATCCAGCTTGTGGTCCACTCAGCAAGCCATGTACAAACAGGGCTCTGTCAAGTCAGGGGAATACCTTTTTCTAATCTATGTAGTAGGCTAAATGGAAACTTCCATGCAGTGATAGGAAAATACCTTATTTTTCCTTGTTATGGTCATTTAGTTCACAGCCAAAAAGACAGAAGGTGGAGGGGGAGGATATTTCTTCCTCTCTGTCTGCCATAGAGGACAGCTCAGTGGGTCCAGCTCTTGCTGGACAGGTGTGCCTAGTCTTTTTTTGGAAGACCCTGGCCCAAGGCTTTCAATTCTTCTTGCCCAGCATTTCCCAACCTTAGCACTGTTGACATTGAGGCTGTCCTGTGTATTACAAGAAATCCTTGGCCTGTATCTACAAGATGCCAACAGCATCTCCTCCCTCCTCCCCATAGCATGACATCCAAAAATGTCTCCAGAGTTGACAGTGCTCCCTAGGGAGCAAAATCATGCCTGCTTGAGAACCACTTCTCTAGCTTAACAGCTTGTCATCATTAATTATTGAGTCTCCAATAATAAATACACATTCTTTGATTGGCTTACATATTTTCAAATTTGGGGCATATAAAGAAATTTTCATTCAAAGTTGCATTTAGAATGCTTAGTTACATTGGAAAGGAAACACTCAGGGTTCTCAAAGTTTTTAATTTATGTGGGTACATAGCAGATGTGTATATTTATGGGGTAGATGGGATATTTTGATACAGGCATACAATGTGTAATAATCACATCAGGGTAAATGGAGTATCCATCACCTGAAGCCTTGATCCTTTGTGTTACAAACAATTCAGTAATACTCTCTCAGTTATTTTTAAATGTACAGTAAAATTTTGTTGACTATAGTCACCCTTCTGTGTTACCAAACACTACATCTTATCCATTCTATTTTGTTTGTGCACATTAACCATCCTCACTTCCCCTCCACCCCCTCACTATCCTTCCCAGCCTCTGATAACCATCATTCTATTCTTGATCTCCATGAGTTCAACTCTTAATTTTTGGCTCCCAGAAATAAGTAAGAACATGCAAAGTTTGTCTTTCTGTACCTGGCTTATTTCAATTAATGTAATGACCTCCAGTTCCATCCATGTTATGGATAGGATCTCATTCTTTTTTTATGACAGGATCTCATTCTTTTTTATGGCTGAATAGCACTGCGTTGTGTCAGTGTACCACATTTTCTTTATCCATTCACTTGTTGATGGACACTTAGGTTGCTTCCAAATCTAGGCTGTTGTGAGAAGTGCTGCAATAAACACGGGAGCGCAGATACCTCTTCTAAACATTTATTTCCTTTCTTTGGGGGTATATATCTAAGAGTAGAATTGCTGGATCATTTGGTAACTCTACTTTTAGTTTTTTGAGGAACCTCCAAACTCTTCTACATAGTGGTTGTACTAATTTACATTTTCACCAAAAGTGTACGAGAGTTCCCTTTTCTCCACATCTTTTCCTGTCGTTTGGATAACAGCCATTTGTTATTGCCTGTCTTTTGAATAATAGCCATTTTAATTGGAGTGAGATGCTATTTCACTGTAGTTTTGATTTGCATTTCTCTGATGATCATTGATGTTGAGCACCTTTTCATGTACCTGTTTGCCACTTGTATGTTTTCTTTTGAGAAATGTCTATTCAGATCTTTTGCCCATTTTTAAAGTAGATTTTTAGATGTTTTTTCCTACAGAGTTGTTTGAGCTCCTTGTATATTCTGGTTATTAATTCCTTGTCAGATTGGTAGTTTGCAAATATTTTCGCCCATTCTTTCTGTTGTCTCTTCACTTCGCTGATTGTTTCCTTTGCTGTGCAGAAGCTTTTGTACTTGATGTGATCCCATTTGTTCATTATTGCTTTGGTTGCCTGTGCTTCCCAGGTATTTACTCAAGAAATCCAAAAGTCCTGGAGAGTTTCCCCAAAGTTTTCTTGCAGTAATTTCAGAGTGTGAGGTCTTAGATTTAAGTCTTTAATCCATTTGGATTTGATTTTTGCATATGGCAAGAGATAGGGGTGTAGATTCATTCTTCTACGTATGGATATCCAGTTTTCCCAGCACCATTTATTGAAGAGATTGCCTTTTCCCCAGTGGATGTTTTTGGGACTGCTGTAAAAAATGAGTTTACTGTAGATGTATGGATTTCTTTCTGGGTTCTCCATTCTGTTCCACTGGTCTGTGTGTCTGTTTATATGGCAGTACCGTGATGTTTTGGTTACTATACTTCTGTAGTATAATTTGAAGTCAGGTATTGTGATTCCTTCAGTTTTGTTGTTCTTGCTGAGGGTAGCTTTAGCTATTCTAGGTCTTTTGTGTTTTCATATAAATAAGGATTGTGTTTTCTATTTCTGTGAGGAATATCATTAGTAGTTTGATGGGGATTGCATTGAATCTGTAGATTGCTTTGAATACTGTGGACATTTTAACAATACTGATTCTTCCAATGCTTGAACATGGAATAGCTTTCCATTTTTTGTGTCTTCTTCAATTTCTTTCTCCAGTTTTGTATAGCTTTCATTCTAGAGATCTTTTATTTCTTTGGTTAATTTCTACGTATTTAATTTTATGTGTGGCTACTGTAAATGCAATTACTTTTTAAATTTTCTTTTTTCAGATTGTTCTCAGTTGGCATATAGAAATTTTAATGGTTTTTGTACGATTTTGTATCCTACAACATTACTGAATTTATCAGTTCTAATAGTTTCTTTTTTTTTTTTTTGGTGGAGACTTTAGGTTTTTCTAAATATAAGATCATATTATCTGCAAACAATGATAACTTGACCTCTTCCTTTCAAATTTGGATGCTTTATTATTTCTTTCTCTTGTCTGATTGCTCTAGTGAGGATTTACAGTACTATGTTGAATAATGTGGTAAAAATTTTCACACCCTTGTGAAATTGTCACGTCCCAGATCTTAGAAGAAAGGGTTTTGATGTTTCCTCTCTCAGTATGATACTAGCTGTGGGTCTGTTGTATATGGCTTCTATTATGTTGATTAATGTTCCTTCTATACCCAGTTTTTTTTTAAGGTTTTTATCATGAAGGGATGTTGAATTTTATCAAATGATTTTTCTGCATCTATGGAGATGAGATGATCATATGATTTTTCCCCTTCATTTTGTTGATATTATGTATCACATTGATTTGCTGTGTTGAACCATCTTTGTGTCCCTGAGATAAATTCTATTTGGTCATGATGAATAATCTTTTCAATGTGTTACTGAATTCAGTTTGCTAGTATTTTGTTGAGGATTTTTGCATTAACATTAATCAGAGATATTGGCCCATAGTTTTCTTTTTTTGATGGGTCTTTGTATGGTTTTGGTATTAAAGTGATATTGGTCTCATATAATGGGTTTGGAAGTATTCCCTCCTCTTCTATTTCCTGGAATCGTTAGAGTAGGGTTGATATTAGGTCTTCTTTAAATGTTTGATAAAATTCAGCAGTGAAGCCATCAGGTCCTGGGCTTTTCTTTGCTGAGAGACTTTTCATTAGAGATTTGATCTCATTACTTGTGATTGGTCTGTTCAGGTTGTGGATTTCTATATAGTTCAATCTTGGTAGGTTTTAGTATCTAGAGGTTTATCAATTTCTAGGTTTTCCAATTTATTGGCATACAGTTGCTCATGGTAGTCTATTAGAGATCCTTTAATTTCTGCGATCCTTTAATTTATCAGCATACAGTTGCTCATGGTAGTCTCTAATGATCCTTTAATTCCTGAGATATTGGTTGTAATGTCTCTTTTTTTCTAATCTCTGATTTTATTTATTTGGGCCTTCTCTCTTTTTTTCTTCGTCTGGCTAAAGGTTTGTTAATTTTATCTTTTCAGAAAACCAGTTGATCTTTTATATTGTTTTCTTCATTGAAATTTCATTTATTTCTGCTCTGATCTTTATTATTTCATTTCTCCTACTAACTTTGGGTTTTGTTTGCCCTTTTCTAGTTTTTTAAGATGCATCATTGGGTTGTTAATTTGAGGTTTTTCTTCTTTTTTGATGTAGGCACTTATAGCTATAAGACTTCCCTCTTAATACTGCTTTCACTGTATCTCATAGGTTTTGATATGTTGTGTTTTCATTGTCATTTGTTTCAAGAACATTTTCAGTTTCCTTCTTAATTTCTTTATTCATTGGTCATTCAGGAGCATATTCTTTAATTTCTATTTCTAGAGTTTCCAAAATTCCTTTTGCTACTGATTTCTACTTTTTCGGGTTTTTTTTTTTTTTTTTCCATTGTGGTCGGAGAAGACACATTATATTGTTTCAATTTTTAAAAAAATGTTTTAAGACTTGTTTTGTGGCCTATCCTTGTTTTGTGGTCTGATCATTCCTCATTTTGAGGAATGATCCATGTGCTGAGGAGAAGGATGTGTATTCTGTAGATACTGGATGAAATGTTCTGTAAGTATCTATTAGGTCCTTTTGCTCTATAGTGCAGATTAAGTTCATTGTTTCTTTGTTGATTTTCTGTCTAGATGATCTGTCCACTGCTGAAGGTGGGGTATTGAAGTCCAGGCTATTATTGTATTGGGATCTGTCTCTCTCTTTTGCTCTGATAATATTTGCTTTATATATCTGCGTGCTTCAGTATTGGGTGTATATATATTTACAATTGTTATGTACTCTTGCTGAATTAACCCCTTTATCATGATATAATGACCTTTATCTCTTTTTATAGCTTTTATCTTGTAATCTATTGTGTCTGATATAAGTATGGCTATTCCTGCTCATTTGTGGTTTTCATCGGCATGGAATATAATTTTCCATCACTCTGTTTTCAGTCTATATGTGCCTTTAAAAGTAAAGTGTGTTTCTTATAGGTTACAGATTCTTAGGGTTTTGTTTGCTTATTCACCCACTCTTTGTCTTTTGATTGGAGAGTTCAGTCCATTTACACTCAGTGTTATTACTGATAAGGATTACCCCTGCCATTTCATTATTTGTTTTCTCAATGTTTTGTGGTCTTCTTTTCCTTCTTCTTTTTCTTTCATTGAAGGTGATTTTTCTCTGGTGGTGTGTTTTAATTTATTGCTTTTTATTTTTTGTATATCCACTGTATGTTTTTAAACTTGAGGTTACCATGAGACTTGCAAATAATATCTTATTAACCCATTATTTTAAACTGATGACAACACTGATTGCATAAACAAACAAGCCAAAGGAAAGCTAATAAAAATTCTAAACTTTAACTTCATCTCCCCACTTTTTACCTTTTTGTTGTTTCTATTTATATCTTATTGCACTGTCTGTCTCTTGAAAAGTTGTTGTGGTTATTTTTTATTGGTTCATCTTTTTGTCCTTCTGCTTATCGTATAAGTAGTTTATATACCATAATTACACTGCTATAATATTCTGTGTTTCTCTGCGTACTTACTATTACGAGTGAGTTTTGTGCCTTCCGATTATTTCTTCCTCATTAATATCCTTTTCTTTCAGATTGAAGAACTTCCTTTAGCATTTCTTACAGGACAGGTCTGGTGTTAATGAAATTTCACAGCTTTTGTTTGACTGGGAAAGTCTTCTCCTTTAGGTTTGAGGGACATTTTCTCTGGATGCACTACTCTTGGGTAAAAGGTTTTTTCCTTCACTTTAAATATGTCTTGGCATGCTCTCCTGGCCTGTAAGGTTTCCACTGAAAAGTCTGCTGCCAGATGTGTTAGAGCTCCGTTGTATGTTACTTGTTTCTTTTCTCTTGCTGCTTTTAGGATCCTTTCTTTATCCTTCACCTTTGGGAATTTGATATTAAATGAGTTAGTCTTTGGGTTAAATCTGCTTGGTGGTCTATAACCTTCTTGTGTGTGAATATTGATATTTTCTCTAGCTTTGAGAAGTTCTCTGTTATACTTTTGAATAAACTTCCTACTGCTATCTCTCTCTCTACCTCCTCTTTAAGGCCAATAACTCTTAGATTTTTCCCTTTAAAGGCTACTTCTAGATCTTGAAAGTATGCTTCATTCTTTTCTATTCTTTTATTTCCTCTGACTGTGTATTTTCAAGCAGCCTGTCTTCAAGCTCACTAATTCTTTCTTCTGCTTGATCAGTTCTGCTATTAAGAGACTGATGCATTCTTCAGTATGTCAGTTGCATTTTTCAGCTCCAGAATTTCTGCTTCTTTTTAATTATTTCAATCTGTTAACTTTATCTGGTAAGATTACTAATTCCTTCTCTGTGTTATCTTGAATTTGAGTTTCCTCAGCACAGCTATTCTGAATTCTGTCTGAAAGGCCACATATCTCTGTCTCTCCGGGATTGCCCCCCTAGTGCCTTATTTAGTTTGTTTGGTGAGGTCATGTTTTCCTGGATGGTCTTGATGCTTGTGGATGTTTGTTAGTGTCTGAGCATTGAAGAATTAGGTATTTATTGTAGTTTTTGCAGTCCGGGCTTGTTTGTACCCATCCTTCTTGGAAAGGCTTTCCAAGTATTCAAAGGGACTTTGGTGTTGTGATCTAAGTTTCTGGTCGCTGCAGCTGTGTCTGCACTAGGAGGCACCCCATGCCCAGTAACACTGAAGCTATTACAGACTCTTAGAGGTACTACCTTGGTGGTCTTGGATAAAATCCAGAATTCTCAGGATTAGCAGGCAGAAGCTCTTGTTCTCTTCCCTTACTCTCTCCCATATGGAGTCTCTCTCTCTCTCTTTCTCTCTATGTGCTAAGCTGCCTGGAGCTAGGAATGGGGTGATATAAACACCTCTGTGGCCACCACAACTGGGAATGTGTTGGGTCAGACTTGCAGCTAGCACAGCATTGGGTCTTGCCCAAGGCTTATTGTAACTACTGCCTGGCTACCACCTATGTTTGCTCAAGGTGTAGGGCTCTACAGTCGGCATGTGGCAAAGCAAACCAGACTTTGCTTTGGTGACCTTCCTTTCAGGGTGGCAAGATCCCCCAGGTCATAGTCAGGTCCAGAGATGCTGCTGTCCAGGAGCCAGGGCCTGGACTCAGATGCCTTAGAAATCTACCTGATGCTCTATTCTACTGCAGCTGAGCTGGTGCTGAAACCACCAAAGTCCTTCCCACCCTTCCTTCCCCTTTCCCCAGGCAGAGGGGTCTCTCTCCATTTCCACCACTACCACAGGCCCATTGGGAGGTACTGCCTGGCTACCACCAACATTCACTTAAGGCCCAAGAACCCTTCAGTCAGCTTGTGGTGAGTGCTGCCAGGCCTGGGACTCGCCCTTCGGGGCAATGGGCTCTCTTCCAGCCCAGGGCAGGTCGAGAAATGCCATCCAAGAGCTAAGGCCTGGAATCAGGGACCACAAGAACCTTCTTGGTGCTCCTTCCCACTGCGGTCACGCTGGTACCTAAGCTGATTTTTGGTTCTTATGAAGGTGCTTTTTGTGTAGATCCTTATCAAATTTGGTGTTCCTGAGGGGAGAATGAACAGTGGAAGCTTCTGTTTGGTTATCATGCTCCACCTCCTCTCCAATATACAGTTTTTTACAGTAGATCTGAAAAATATGTCTTGTCTTTATTACTGATTTTATTGTGCTGATTAAAAATGATAATAACCTTCACAATTATATAATTGTTTTTATACAAAAGTACCAAGAAGTAAGCATTTGGTCTTCTGGTGTTTTGAGAGAGGAAATGGAAGCCAGATAGCAGATTTTGATGTATCTCTAGTTATGACCAAATTTATACATGTCATTACTCCAAAAAGTACTACCAGCAAGTAATGAAATGATTTCATGGCATGTATAAATGGTGTCAAGTCAAGTGGTAACTCTGAGAACTCAATTAAAGATGATCTGATGGAAGAAAACAACGCTTTTCTTTTTTTATGGCACATCCACAGGACCACAGTTCACAAGCCACAAAATTGAAAAAATGTCCCATGAGACTTGCCCTTCATAGCAGTCTCTCAGTTCCTGGCATTTCACATTATTGGAACAGATATGACATTTTATATTTTTTGTTTCATGTGTGTGTGTAGTCCTGCTGTTTGCATGGTGCTCTAGCACGGCAGGAAGCTTTAGTGAAGCAGCTAAGAGGGCAGGCTCTGGAACTTCCTGGCTGTGCAGTCTTGGGCAAGTCACTTAACTTGGCTCTGTGTCTTCATCGTCTACAACAGCAGTCCCCAGCCTTTTTGGCACCAGGGACCGGTTTCGTGGAAGACCAATTTTTTCCACAGAACTGGGGGATGGAGGGTGGTTTCTGGATGAAATTGTTCCACATCAGATCATCAGGCATTAGATTCTAATGAGTGCGCAACCCAGACCCCACACATGCTCAGTTTGTAGATTCTACAAAGAACAGAGGACCCACCTCTTAGAATTGTGCAAATTAAGTTATTTAATTCTTGTTAAAATATGAAGCACAATTTCTAGCACCAAGATAGTGTTTGAACAAAAGTCAGCTATTATTATAGCAGACAGTGAGTAAGTATTGAGTCAATAAAAGGAATGAGATCCATGGTCATGTAAATAGGCATCATCCTTCTTAATCTGGGTTCACATATTAGAGGTAAGTTTAACTTCTGATTTTCTTTAAAACATTTCATTGAAGAATATAGCCTTTTTTTTTTTTTCAGATGCCGTCTTCGCAGGTGCCATGCCTACAATGGCAAGTGTCAAGTTGTCTACACTTCATCCCATTGTGAATCATCCACATTACGAAGATGCAGACCTGAGGTTGGCAACTGATGAGTATTTCATCAAGAACCATTTGGTGACTCCCAATTCTTAGGAATTGGGAAAATATTTACACACACACACACACACACCCCCACAAACTCATCCTCATTTTCGTGCTGGAAGTTCAAAAAAAATGACAATGACCATCCAGAAATGACAATAGGTACCCGTTGCCTCTGGAGCAAGCTGACCTCTGAAAACTGAAAAATGCAAAAGCCAGTTTTTCCCAAAGTGACAAACATGTCACATATTTATGATGTGTGTGTGTATTTCAGTAAAACTACTAGGTAGTTGGAAGAGGAGGTAGGATGGATTTTACTCACAGCCATGGTTTGCCAACCCCTGCTCTACACCACAAGCCCTACTCTGATTTAGGAAGTGATTTCTGGATCTTACTGGTGGCCAATGACTAGCCTTTTGTGACAGGTAGAAAAAGTACTTGAAAGTTGCTATTATGTATTATGTGCTTTCATGAAAATTTAGAGTATTTTTGCTAGCCGATTATGAGAACTCTAATTTCCATTGATGTCTAAAAGTTTTGCTTTCCTTAAATGGCTGGTTTAAAAAATTCTTTTGGTAATTCTAGTAGTTGTCAGGGTAATCGTTTTTAAAAGTGGATTTTTGGCCTATTGTTAGAGGCAAATATTTAAATTATTTAAAAGCTTTAGGTCTGCTGTCTAGGAGCCAGGGCTTGGAGTCAGACACCTTAGAAATGTACCTGACGCTCTCTCTATTCTACTGCGGTGAACTGTCATGGAAACCACTGTGGTGACTGAGCATCCCATATGCTTGAAATTCTAAGCAACATCCAATGCATAAGTGATAGTCTGCCAGGATATTGTAAGAACTTCCACTATGGTCAAATCACCTATTGTACCATATTTTGGTGATGATTCCCATTTCTCAAGATTCTGTCAAGGTGCTTTTCCTACCTGTTCTGACACCCTGGATGCCCATTGTCTAAGTGTTCTATTTGATACACTCAATTTCAATTCATGTGTTTGTCAGAGCTTCTTCAGATGAAATTAAGCATTTAAAGATATGTTTTCACTACATTCAGTCTCTGTCAGAGTATATTCTCTGAAAACTTTGTGAATTATGAGAAGAAAATTTTATATCCTAAGCTGCTGTCTGCTACCCAGTACAACTTTAGACTATTTTATACAATAATGAGCAGTATATGCAAAATTAAATTGCTATAAGTTTTATTACATTCAAAATATAAGTAGGAATGTGGAAACTGCCATCCCCAAAATAGTTGATGCTGTTTTGAGTCATGTATATAAGTGTTCCATCCAGTGAGTACTGAGATTTCAATTTGCTAGTAAGATTTTTTTAGTCTATTCTATTATCATTCATTTTAAAATCTTTTAAACTATTGTTTAAATTTAAAGGGCCCGGACAAAAATAGTTTATTCTACATATAGTCGAAAATCTGCCAAAGAAGTAAGAGATAAATTGTCAGAGTTACATGTGAATTACTATGTTTTAGAAGAGGCATGGTGTGTTGTGAGAACTAAGTGAGTATTAACCCTATGCTATCCAATATGGTATATTTTTAAGCAACAAATGTTTCAGTTTATTACAGTAGTTCTGATTCTTTAAGAATTTTTATTTTAAATTTATTAAAATATTATCCTGGTATCTTAAATTATTTCATCTAGAGAAATAAAACTATACTATCAATGAAGTAGAATTTAATTCCAAACATTATAGTATATTTTAATATCCTGATTTTTCAATTTAATTTGACATCTTCCACTTAACTTTTTTCATAATTTTTGAAATATTTATGAAAATTTTTATTAGATATCTGAAATATGGATTTGCATTTACAACAAAGTGAGATATTGCCATTCTGTACTATATAGCTGAATTATAATGGATTTGTAAGACTTAAAAGAAAAGTGACAAAACCCAACATGACATAATAAGAAAAACATTCCTAATTAAAATTTTTTAATTTCTGAATTTTGAATCCCTAAAAATCCTAAAATTCTAAGATGTGTAATTGATCTTTTGAGGCCTTTGTTTAGGCTCCTAAGCAGAGATACTAGCTGCTGCACATGACAGGAAATTCAGGCATATTAATTGTCTCCTAGAACAGCACATTAGCAATCAGAAGAATGAAACAGGTTCTACAGTCACTTCAAAATATCATTTACAATGTGCAAAAAAGTTTCAGAGATGCAAACTAAAATGAGAGAGTATGACCAATACTCTGAAAAAAATAAGTTAATAGAAATCGATTCAAGTAGGTCCAGATGTTGGATTTAGCAGCCAAAGACTGCAAAGCCACTATTACAAATACATTTAAAGGCTTAAGAAAAATATATTCAATGGATTAAAAGAAAACATGGTATCCATGAGTGAAGAGAGATGGAATCTCAGCAGAGAAATAGAAACACTCCAGCCCCCATGGAAATTCTAGAGATGAAAAGTATAATAAATGAAATGAACATTACTTAAATGTACTCAACAACAATTTTGAGATGAAAACGATATTTGAACAGAAAATTCAGTGAATTTGAAGATAGATCAAGAGAGAATAGTTAATCAAAAGAACAGGAACCAAAAAGATTGAAAAATAACCAACATCACAGACCTATGTAACATTAAGTAGTTCAACACATGCAAAATTTTAGTATTAGATGTAACGAAAAAAAGAACACGACAGAAAAAATATTGAAGAAATGTTGGCCAAAAATTTCTCACGTTTGATAAAACTACTAACTTAGAGATCTGCTGAGCTCAACAAATCCAACTGGGTACGCCCAAAGAAAACCAAAGCAAGGCGCATTATAGTCAAAATGGTAAAATCAAAGATTAAGAGAAAATCTTGAAAATAAGAGAAAAAAATGATAACATTTGACTTCTCAACATAAATAGTGGAAATTAAGAGACACTGGAATGATAATTCGAAGTGCGGAAGAAGAAAAATCAACAATTATATATTTAATGAAATTATCTTTTTAAAATGGAGGCCAAAAATACATTTTTCAGATCAACAAAATCTAAGATAATTTGTTGGTAACAGATTTATACTTCAAGATGGACAAGAAGTTCTATCAGCTGGTGAGAAATGATGCCAGATGGTAACTCAGATATACAAGAAATACTGAAATGCGCTGGAAATGGTAAATATGTGGATATTAATCACTATGCGTTTTTCTTCTCTGAAAATCTTTAAAAGACATTAAGGCAAAGGTGATACCATTATATTTTTTAGTTTATGACAGAAATTAAACATACATGACAATAGCACAAAAATTGAGTAAACCATGGAAATGTATGATTTACTAGAAATAACCCAATTTCAATGGTAAGTAAATCGTGATATGTTAAAGATGCTTGTTGTCATCCCTAGCAAAACCACTCAAAAAATAAAACAGTGGGGAAAAGAAAGAGCATAATGGCAAGCCTAGACATGGATGAGCCTGGATACATTCAGCGAAATAAGTCAGCCACAGTAAGATGAATAGTGCATGTTGTCACTCATGTGGAAGCTCAAAGAAGTAGCTCATAGAGGTAGAGTAGAATTGTGGTAATTAGAGGCTAGGTGGGAAGGGTAGGGAGGAGAAGAAGATAAGGAGAGGTTGGTTAAGAGATACAAAACTACAGATAAATAGAAGGAATAAGTTCTAGTGTTCTCTGGCACTGTAGAGTGAAGATTAGTTAACAGTAATTTATCGTATATGTCAAGAAAGCCAGAACAGAGGATTCTGAATGTTCCCAGCACAAACAGATGGTAAATGTTTGAGGTGATGGATATCCTAATTACCCTGATTTGATCATTACACATTGTAATTATGCACTGAAATATCACTCTATACTCCATAAGTGTGTACAAGTATTACTTGTCAACTAAAACTAAAAGGGGAAAACACCTAAACATATAACTAACTTAAGACCCAGCAATTGTACTGGGCATTTTTCCAAGAAAGGTGAAAAGTTGTTTTCACACAAAATTCTGTAGAAAAATGTCTATAGAAGCTTTATTTGTAATAGCCTAAACCTCATACGACCCAGATGTTTTTTGCAAGGTGAATGGTTAAATAATAGTGATCTATTCATACCATGGAATACTGCTCAGCAATAGGATCAGACTGTTGATACACTCAAGATCCTGGATGGATCTCCAGAGAATTGTTTGAATGAAGAAAAGACAATCCCCAAAGGTTACATACTGTATGATTCCATTTATATAACTGTCTTCAAATGATAAAATTACAGATACAGATAATGATTTGTGGTTGCGAGGGGTTAGGGTGGGGTGGGAATGTGGGGGAAGTATAGTATGTGTGGCTATACAAGGGATCTCCGTGGTGATGGAAATGCTCTCTATCGCCATTCTATCAATGTGAATTATCTGGCTGTGATATTATACAAACGTTCAAGATGTTACCATGGCAGGGGACACTGTCTAAAGACTGTACAAGAGCTACTTGTATTATCTCTCACTTAATGTGGATCTCCAAATGTCTTGAAATAAAATGTTTTTTTAAAAAAAAAGCATAATAGCAAGCCTATATCAGTAATTTCAAAGTGAAAGAGGACTAAACTTTTCCAGACAAAAGGCGGAGATTGGCAAACTGAATACAAGAGCAAAACCTATCTATGGACTTGCCTGCAAGAGGTGCATTTTAAATACAAATAAGTATGTTGGCTGAAGGAAAAAGAATGGAAAAGATATCATGTGAGCAAACATTAGAAAGCTGAAGTGAAAAATGCATAAATATCAGTAAGATAGATGTTAAGACAAAGAATATTACTCAAAACGACTATGTTTGATAAAAATAGACAAATCTACAGTATATTTATAAATTTTCATAGCCTTCTCTAAATAATTTGTGGAACAAATAAAAAGAAATTTGGTAAGAATATGGAAGACTTGAATGATGCCATCAACCAGTATGACCTAATTGACATTTATAGTACACACCACCCTATAACAGCAAAATAGATATTCAAGCACACATAGACTATTTATCAAAAAAGACCATTTTCTAGGCCACAAAACAAGTATTGACGCATTTGATATACTTCAGATCATGTAAAGTACAATCTCTGACTACAATGAAATTAAATTAGAAATCAGTAACAGAATTCTATATGGAAATTCTCTCAAATGTTTGGAAACTAGATAATACACCTCCAGATAATCCATAGTCAAGAAGAAACAAAAGGAGGGTTAGTTTCAATGTATTTTGACCTAAGGGAAAATGAGAACACCATCCCGCTATTTGTGGGATGCAGATACAGCAGTAGAGAGATTTGTTTTTATGTTGAATGCCTATAATAGGAAAAGAAGAAAGGCCTCATATCAGTCATTCGGCTTCACCTTAAGGAACTAGAAAAAAAGAACAAGTAAACTCTAAAGTAAGGAGAAGAAAAGAAAGCACAAATATTAGAGTCAAAATCAGTGTGAATTACCCCTAAAACAGGGAAAAGTCAATAAAACCAAACACTGATTCTTGAGAAGATTAATGAAATTGATTAACTTCTACCCAAACTAAAAAATTGAAGACAGAAATTACTAATATCAGGAGTAAGAAAGATTTTATCACTACAGGATCTGAAGAAATGAAAAGGATAATGAGGGAATTTTAGGAACAACTTTACTCCACTAAGTAGGACAAAATAGATAAAATGGAGAAGTTCCTTGAAAGACGCAAAACCAAAGCTCACTTAAGAAATAGAAAAATCCTATATCTATTACCTTATTATGAATGACCTTATATCTATTAATAAAATTATATTTGTAATAAAAAGAATTGTCACAAAACTTTAAGACAGATATCTTCACTGGAAATAATTCCAGTTCTACAAACTATTCCAGAAAATTCAAAAGGAGGGATTACTTCCCAGCTGGTTCTATGAGGTCAGCATTATCCTGAAACCAACATGAGAGAAAAATTACAGTAAAAGGAAACAACCAATCAAAATGTATCATGAACACATGTGAAATTTTTAAGTAAAACTACAACAAATGGATCCAGCAATATATTAAAGAAAGACAATACATAATGTACCAGTGGAGTTTATCCCAGGAATGCAGAGTTGTCTCACTATTTGAAAACCAATCAAGTGAATTCACCATAGTAACAAACTGAAAAAGAAAGACCCCGTTATCCTCTCAGTACATTCAGGAAAAAGTATTTGACACAATTCAGTATCCACAACTGATTAAAAACTCTCAGCAAACTAGGAGTAGAAGGTAACTTGCTACTAAGAATCTAAGAATATAAAATTTCTAGAAGAAAATGTGGAAGAAAATTATTGTAACCTTGGATTAGGCTAAGATTTCTCAGATACAGTAACATAATCACGATCCACAAGAGAACACATTGATAAATAGGACTTCATTAAAACTGTAAATCTAAAGAAACTACCATCAGAGTGAACAGGCAACCTACAGAATGGGAGAAAATTTTTGCAATCTACTCATCTGACAAAGGGCTAATATCCAGAA